ACATCTCAAAGGCTTTTTGAGTATTGCTCTGGACAAAAATTAATTTTGAAAAATAACAAAGGGCAATAACTCAAAAATAATGCAGGGTAGAGTTATCATTCTTAAGCACTGCACTCCTCCTCAATGAGATCCATCCACCTTTGAAGTTTCAAGTTGATACCTCAAATACTTTTTGAGATAAGCTCTGGACAAAATAGCATGAAAAAAAAAGGGCAATAACTCAAAAATTGTATAGGGAAGAGTTATCATTCTTGCGCACAACATTCCTCCTCAATAAGATCTATCCACCTATGACATTTCATGTTGATATCTCAAACACTTTTTGAGTTATGCTCCACATAGGTGAAAAATTAGGTATGAAAAATAACAAAGGGCAATAACTCAAAAATTATGAAAGGTAGAGTTATTATTCTTGTGCACTGCACACCTCCTGAGTGAGATCTATGCACCTATGAAGTTTCATGTTAATATCTCATAGGCTTTTGGAGTTATGCTCTGGACAAAAATCAATTTTGAAAAATAACAAAGGGCAATAACTCAAAAATCATGCAAGGTAGAGTTATCATTCTTGTGCACTGCACTCCTCCTCAATGAGGTCTATCCACCTATGAAGTTTCAAGTTGATAACTCAAATACTTTTAGAGATATGCTCCAGACAAAAATGTCGGACGGAAGGACGGACGGACGGAAGGTCGGACGGACGGAGACTATTTCTATATCCTCCGCCGAAATTTTTCGGCGGGGGATAATAAAAACTCATATTCTGCAACTATTTCTGAAGATATAGGATCAGAAAGTTTAAATATTAAAATAAATTATATCTATAAATCTTAAGAGAGTTTGACCCTTGAATGGTTTTGACTAAGATAATATTTATAATAAAGATAATGCCAATTCCCTTATGGACAATTTCTGCAATGCTTAACTTTAACCATAGCTCAAAGTGTATTGAATTTGATATTTTATCTCTCATTTTAAATATCAAATTAAAAACAATTCAGGAATTGAGTAGTGGTTCTATAAATTAATCACCAAAAAAGAAGTTACAGTAACTATTCATAAAAGACTTGCAATAATTTGAACAGAAGATAGACAAAAAAGAAAAGAAGCTAAATACTGGTATTTCTATATGAATACAACACTTCCTTTTTACCATATCTAAAAATTAAATTATGTCACTGGTTAACATTGAAATACAATATTTGATCGGACAAAATGTGTCTGTACTCTGCAGGGACTCTCTCTCTATATATATACTATATTCTCTACACATATATTATATAATGTATATTAATACTACAAATATAAAATACTTTTGACACTGTCTTTAAATGTAAGCAATAAATAATATACCCTACCTTAACCCTTTCAGTGTCCATAATAATAATAACTAGACCTATCACTGAAGGTGATTAATACCCCCACCAACAACTTTGACTTTTTGAAAAAATAGTAGTCTGAAGAAAAATTTGAACACAAACTATCAACTGTGAACAAAGAAATATTTCAATTAATTGTAATCGCAACTGGGGTCTCGAAATAAGCTAGCTATACACCAAGTTTGATTACAATATCTCATTCCTAACTCTAGTTATTGTCAGGAAACCATTTTTTCTATTTTTAGTAACACTGTAACAGTGACCTTGACCCTAGGGGGTCCAAATGCAATACCAACCCAGGTCTTCATATAAGCTTCCTATACACCAAATAAGATTACAATATCTCATTCCTAACTCTAGTTATTGTCCGAAAACCATTTTTCGTAACGGTGACCTTGACCTTGACCCCAGGGGGCCCAAATGCAATACCAACCAAAGTCTTCATATAGGCTTGCTATACGCCAAGTTTGATAACAATATCTCATTCCTAACTCTTGTTATTGTCCGGAAACCATTTTTCTATTTTTAGTAACACTGTAACGGTGACCTTGACCCTAGGGGGTCCAAATGCAATACCAACCCAGGTCTTCATATAAGCTTCCTTTACACCAAATTAGATTACAATATCTCATTCCTAACTCTAGTTATTGTCCGGAAACCATTTGTCTATTTTTCCTAACGGTGACCTTGACCTTGACCCCAGGGGGTCCAAATGCAATACCAACCCAGGTCTTCATATAAGCTTGCTATACACCAAGTTTGATTACAGTATGTCATTCCTAAGTCAAGTTATTGATTACAATATCTCATTCCTAACTCTAGTTATTGTCCGGAAACCATTTGTCTATTTTTCCTAACGGTGACCTTGACCTTGACCCCAGGGGGTCCAAATGCAATACCAACCCAGGTCTTCATATAAGCTTGCTATACACCAAGTTTGATTACAGTATGTCATTCCTAAGTCAAGTTATTGTCCGGAAACCATTTTTCTATTTTTAGTAACAGTGACCTTGACCTTGACCCCAGAGGGCCCAAATGCAATACCAACCCAGGTCTTTATATAAGCTTGCTATACGCCAAGTTTAATAACAATATCTCATTCCTAACTCTAGTTATTGTCCGGAAACCATTTTTCTATTTTTAGTAACAGTGACCTTGACCTTGACCCCAGAGGGCCCAAATGCAATACCAACCCAGGTCTTTATATAAGCTTGCTATACGCCAAGTTTAATAACAATATCTCATTCCTAACTCTAGTTATTGTCCGGAAACCATTTTTCTATTTTTAGTAACGGTGACCTTGACCTTGACCCCAGGGGGTCCAAATGCAATACCAACCGGAGTTTTCACATAAGGTTGCTATATACCAAGTTTGATTACAATACCTCATTCCAAACTCTAGTTATCGTCCGGAAACCATGATGTGGACCGACCGACGGACCGACCGACAAGCTGACTCCTATATACCCCCCCTAAACTTCGTTCCTAACTCTAGTTATTGTCAGGAAACCATTTTTTCTATTTTTAGTAACACTGTAACAGTGACCTTGACCCTAGGGGGTCCAAATGCAATACCAACCCAGGTCTTCATATAAGCTTCCTATACACCAAATAAGATTACAATATCTCATTCCTAACTCTAGTTATTGTCCGAAAACCATTTTTCGTAACGGTGACCTTGACCCCAGGGGGCCCAAATGCAATACCAACCAAAGTCTTCATATAGGCTTGCTATATGCCAAGTTTGATAACAATATTGTTTGATTTTATTAACCTGTCAATTCCATACTGATTATACGGTCAATGCACAGAATGTATTAATATTCGATAACTGTTCGGTAAATTCCGTGAGATGTGCGCAGTAAGATGTGATTAAATTCATCTTGTTATTTTGAATTAGTTACACTGACCGTAATAGTGCAATAGGGTAAACCACTGGTATATTTTATCTGAATGTTCAACGTGTTGTAGGATCGAGACAGAGTATGTCCAGTATTTTTTTTTATTCATAACTATTTTCAACATGTTTTTTAAGTTATGGTTGTTCTGTTTTTAATATGTTTTGCACCTTTTTATAAATACTATACATTTGTATATAACAATGTTTAAGAATTAATACTGAAAATTCATTCCGATTAAAATAAATAAATATAATTATACAATATAAAATGTGACAATTCACTGTTTCTTAGTTGGTTCATATCCGTGTAGACAAATTGCAAGCGCTTGACCATTTTCATTAAAATATACTTAAAAATAAAGAAAGAATAAGTCTAAAAAGAATGTCAAAAAGGGATCGAACCTCGGACCCCTCATGCATTTGGTATTCACTTAACCGACTGTGCTATTGCGGATGTTACAAGAACCTACATTAATCTAGTGAGAGTTTTCCAAACGTAAGTGATACACTCCATATTAATTCTCGTAAAATAAGCGGAAAAACCCGAAGTATGATCGAATATGTAAATGAGTGCTATAATGTATTCATAATTGACAGGTCAATAAAATCAGACTATATCTCATTCCTAACTCTTGTTATTGTCCGGAAACCATTTTTCTATTTTTAGTAACACTGTAACGGTGACCTTGACCCTAGGGGGTCCAAATGCAATACCAACCCAGGTCTTCATATAAGCTTCCTTTACACCAAATTAGATTACAATATCTCATTCCTAACTCTAGTTATTGTCCGGAAACCATTTGTCTATTTTTCCTAACGGTGACCTTGACCTTGACCCCAGGGGGTCCAAATGTAATACCAACCCAGGTCTTCATATAAGCTTGCTATACACCAAGTTTGATTACAGTATGTCATTCCTAAGTCAAGTTATTGTCCGGAAACCATTTTTCTATTTTTAGTAACAGTGACCTTGACCTTGACCCCAGAGGGCCCAAATGCAATACCAACCCAGGTCTTTATATAAGCTTGCTATACGCCAAGTTTGATAACAATATCTCATTCCTAACTCTAGTTATTGTCCGGAAACCATTTTTCTATTTTTAGTAACGGTGACCTTGACCTTGACCCCAGGGGGTCCAAATGCAATACCAACCGGAGTTTTCACATAAGGTTGCTATATACCAAGTTTGATTACAATACCTCATTCCAAACTCTAGTTATCGTCCGGAAACCATGATGTGGACCGACCGACGGACCGACCGACCGACAAGCTGACTCCTATATACCCCCCCTAAACTTCGTTTGTGGGGGTATAATAAATTGTCTATGGCAAATAGAAGAGTGCCAGGTCCTAACATTCATACAGTCTCACTAGGCTTTTTACTCCTGGCTTCTGAATTTTAAAAGTTTCCTACAGAAACCCCTTCAGCATATAATAGACTGTCCCAAATTCAAAACAGGGAAAATCCATTATACAAATTTAGTAGTATAATATGGTCGACTGTTCAATAACTAGTATCATTTTGACTTTTGACACTGATATACCTTCAGTTATTAATGGACTATTCTAAATTCTAAGCAGGGAAAGTCCATTTTTTCAAATCTAGCGGGGTAAGGGTGAAATAAGGTATGGTTATTAACAGAGATTCACTAATAGCACCTTTTCAAGACGCTACATTAATTCCAAATAATTATTACATCTGAAACAAAACATATTTAAAAAAAAAAAAACCTAATTATTTCACATACATTATAATAACTATACATGTATTTCTTTCATGATTAAAGTTCAATTCTGCTCATGGCCACATTTTCATTTTACATCTCTACTTGTGAAAATTTTGCAAAGCTAGTTCAACTTGTAACAAAGTAAGCACCAAATCATAACCACTTATTAATCAGCTCTTTTTTGTAATTCCAATGGAACATTGTATATTTATTGACAAAACCTTAAGAAATACAAAATAATATAGGATATTCTACAGATTTGCAAGAGACACAGAAATAATTTAAAAGTATCTCTCAGAAAATGCACAGACTGTACTTTAGAAAATCTAAATCAGAGCTGGAAAAACTGGTGCACTTTTAAAATATTTCAGCAAATGACCATGGTAATTATATACCTAACTGAAGAATATACATAGTTCTGCTCAATATTCCATCATTCCAATCTTGCTACCCCAAAAATTTATTACCAGAATGTTTTTGATATGAAGAAATGTCAAATTCTTTAAAAAAGGACAAGTTTTACAAGCATATTGTGTGTAGTTTCTTTCTTAACGAAGCAATCTATGTTAATGAAAGCTTGCTAACTTGAAGAAGTTTTATCATCATTTTGGCCTATGATCGCATCAACAAGAAGCGTTGTGATCTGATCTATCTGTTCATCGCGCATATCTTTGGCTCGTCTCACCTGCGGAGATGCGTCAGTCCCCGTTCCACGTGTAGGTGAATTCAAAGCTGAATCAGTGAATTCTCCAGTTGGAATACTGATAGAAAGAGCCTGAGCTGAAGGTTTAATGATAGTTTTTATCTGTACAGAAGGTGGCTGAGGCCCCTCAGAATTTTCAATAAATTCATCATCTAATTCCAGTTCAGGGGAAGGAACCGGTTCCCTGATTCCTGAGTAGGCCATGTGACCTCTTGGTACATCACTGGACATACCCTGCTGTTGATACTCTGTGTTTTTCTTCTGCTGTCCAGGGTTAGGATTTTTCACTGGAGTTGCTATCTGGATATATTCAGCTTCATTTTGCCTGTACCCAGTCATACTGACCAAAGAACTTGATCCTAGAGATCGCTGTGTAGATTTAGCAGATTTCAACCCGCTACGTGAACTACGAGCACTTCCTACACGACCTTGAACTTGCTTTGGAATGTAAGGTGATTTATTACCATAAATGCTAGGAGGATTTCCTGTAGATTCACTAGACAATGGCCGCTGTCCGTTTGGTACACTAAGAGTCCCTATAATGTCAAGATCGACTTCCTGATATTTGGTACTAAATGTGGGTTGGGACGGTTTCACTTTCGGATGTCTCTGCTCACTGCTACCACTTGAAACAATGCTTATTTTACTTGGGCTATACAAACCATCCTGACCGTGACCATTTGGCTCTGCTAAACTGAATGTAACAGAATGTTTTTCAACATCTTCATGGTGGCCATTTTGTTTCTCTTTATTTTTACTATCACAATTTTGTTTTATCACTTCATCAACAGTTAAACTTTCAATTTTTTTCTCCTCCGCCTCTGACTTGGAGTCAATTGTAACAACAGTTATTTTATTATCTCTCTCTTTCCCATCAATACATGGTTTGGTTTTCTTGCGCTGTTTCACGCGGAAACCGTCTTTTCTGTTGCCCATCGATGATGCCGTCCCTGTGTTGACGTCATTTGGCAGTAGCTTTGTAAACACGACTGGTTTTGAAGTACATAAACTCTGAAGAAGAAACAAGCCACAACATTGTATACAATGCAATAATCTATATTCAAAATTAAACCATTTTTCTAAACAAATAAGAACTATTGTTACTATAAATCTATAATAATCAAATTAAATATTCAATTATTGTTAATACTAATGAAAGCAGGTACCTGACTGGATCTATCAATTGGGGGCCCTCTAGGGGTGATTATTTTTGCCTCTGAGGCTTGAACCTGGTCATCCCAGGAGAGTGGTATCACCATGTTATCATTCTTTGCCATATTCTCCTTAAATTCATCCTCCTCAGGTTTCCTGTAAACATCACATTATATATCAGTCAATGAAATCATTTCTTTCTTTTCTTATATTTTCATGGGTTTAAGCAAGAATTTATAAAGATTTTTTTATAATTCTACACAAGTCTTTAAGCACTATGTTAATGAATTATGTAAACTTTACAAGAGTTTCCTAGTGTTTTTACTAGTATTCACAAAGTATCTACAAATGACTGTCAACATCACCATATAAATGTATGGAAAAGGCATCATTGAATGACAAAATTTGAAACAATTTTGATGCTAATGTAGTTTTAAGATATTAAGCAGATATAAATTGAATACAACTTTGAAGTAGACTTGCACAACTTAAAGTTTGTAAATATCTTTCAGTAGTTTTAGTGATATTTACATCAAAGATGCTAAATTTGCGCATTAATCAGCATAAAATTTGTAAAGGCTGAGGCTCAGGCCTGGTACTGTTGGCACACACTTTTTATGATTATCACTTGCCCTGACAAAAGGTTAACTAACCTCATTTTACATTTCTTATAATTAATTCAAATTTCTCAAATTAAAAACCAATATTTTATTTCTATTTCAGAATAAACTTTTCGAAAACAATACTTTATGTCTATATGAGAAATATCATTTCAAAAACAATATTATAATTATGTCTCTTTGAGAATAAACTATTCAAAAAGTAAAAATACTTACACATAACTATCCTCTTTACTCCATTTTTTCACTTTCAAGTCTTGCGACTGTATATTCCCATTTATACCAATTCTGATCTTGTCGCCTTTTTGTAACTGCTGGGCTATCCGGCTCCCTACCCCACCCTCCACATTGTAATAGTCATTGGCAGTCTCCAAATCTGTAAACAAAACAAAATTTGTTGTACCCTGTCCCCTCTTCATTTTTCCCAGCCAATTAACAAGCAAATTCAAAACTGAAATTACAGTGTAATTAACAATTAAATTTAACAAGAACCCATTGAAAAAATATCCACTAATTACCAGATACTCTGCAGTGAAAATGAAAAATCCAATTTTATTAATTGTTTAATTTGTTTGGACTTCTCATTTTCCAACAACGATTTACAGCAAACATTATTACGCCAATATCTGTAAAACAGCATCAACTATTTATAACACCAGTTTTATATTTCAGCCTATTGATTCTTGAATCATTATATAAAATTAAAAAAATGATAACAAAAAAAAAAGGAGATAAATAGCTACTTTTGAATCTGTTCTACATAAAATATGGATAGAAAGTTTGACAAGAAATCTATTCTTTATCAAAAATATATTCAATATAATGGTAAAACTGACATTGTCAACCGTATATAATAGACAGATTGTCATTCTATATTCTTCCATTCATTAGATTTTAGTGTAAAATTTCAATAGATAAAAAAACAACAAAAACAAACTAAGATCAGATTTATTGATTTGATATTATGGTATCATTTACATATAATGACAGATGTTATCTGTAGTGAGTAACAACCCTCTTCCACTTGTCAGAGTATTTCTACTAGGTATATTCCTTGTCTAAATGCCACAACTGTCCTATAATCTAAATCTATAAAATCTTGAAATATTGCTTTTAATTTACATGCTTTTCAATCAAGGATTAGAAGAGATTACAATCAAATCAAAATGTTCTGCTGATTTCAAAATTCATTTTAAGCCTTATATATTTTTCAGTGCACATACTTATAGAGCCCCAGTGTTACTGGGCACATGTGAGTATAATCAAGGCCTTGGGAAAATTGAATTTTAAATTTATATGAGAGAAAGAAAGTCATGTGTGGGAAATCACACGAAAAATAGGAACATGACAGCTGTGACTCGAACTGGATTTCTGGTCTACTATGCAAACCAATACACCAGAGCAGCCATTGCGCTTTCTTTGTGCTAATTTACCTTAGTGTGATGTTATCACTTTTATAACCATAGCGGCAATATATATATATATTTTTATATAAAGAAGTAATAGTGTGATCACAAATTTGGTATTTCAAATAAAGACTATGAAACTCCACATAAATGTTGCTGTCTGCCACTGATTCGGTTGAAACCGATTTGGTTTGACTTTGTTATAAGATAAGTCATATCTGTTTAAATATGAAAATTGATGTCAGTGTAGGTCAAGCTTTGTCTTTTTATTGAAAAAAAGTTTCCCGCCATTAAAAAGTTCATAGAAACTTCCACTTGTTTGAAAACTTGTGATTTAGATCAAGAAATAAAAACTTTAGTGCTGTATTCCAATAAGTAATATTGCTCAAGTGGTTTGTGCCAAGCTGTATTTCAACTGACCCCCCCCCCCACCCCCTCCCAAAAGTGAGTGTAAATACAACTTTTAAATGTGAATGCAATTGATACAATCAGCCAGAATAACACGCTCAACCATTTACTATATACTGTCGGTAAATTTCAAGATTAACAACTGAAGGGAAGGATTAATTCCACTTGCAGCTTTAAGCAGTTACACCTGGCAAAATTGTATTCATTTACAAAATCAGACACTAGCCCATATTTGCTAACACCCCCCTCCCCCATTTCCACCCCTTATACCAAATTTTCAGTAATTAACAAAGCATCATCAGGGTATGTTCTTCAATGATTCAAAATGATGGCATATCAATCTGAACAATGTATTTTTTGTTATACATCAAAAAAGCTATTCACACTAGCATGCTGGTATTTGTCAAGTTATATAACATTCTCACATGCAATCTAAAAGCATATTCTAAAACTGTTTTCACCACAGATAATGACAAAGTCAATATAATTTTGCAGAAGTCAAAGAACTACTTTTTCTACAAAATGAAAGAAAGGATTTGAATGAACTTGATTTAAAACTTTCTGTATAATTCACTTTGTTTATTAAGTAAATATTATCTACCCGTATCTTAAATGGTTTGATTTGAAGATAGCTAATAATTAGAAGTGTAAATATATCAAAACCTCGCGATAAATAAGTTTGTTTTTTATTATTGCATTTGTATGAATTTTGTACCCAAACACAATAAATACATTGAAAATTTTGTCAATACTTGCAAAAATCTATTATAAAACAGACTAAAGATTCTTATTTTGTACATAAAAGATTTTGTATCTGTATAAAATTGAATCAAATGCATCTACATTGTGATCAGATCTGCATTAGAAAAATATAAATTTTCAAGTGAATTGTTGAATGTCTGAATGAAACCATTAAAAGTTATCTGTTCACTCAATAAGCTTGTAGCAAAATATATACAGTAGCTTAACTTTGTTGTCAACAAGATTGCATTTGAGAAAAATGCTATGCCACCGCATGGTTCAAATTTCATAGCTGTACATCAAAGGACAAGAAAGTAGGTCACATCATCAAAATCTAGGTCAAAGTTCAATTTAACAACTAAAACTGTGCACATGGTCAAAATGTCATTGCTGTACATCAAAGGACAAGAAAGTAGGTCACTGTCCCCTTGGGCAAGGCATAATTTTGACCCAAGGGTTTAATAACAATCTTGATACAGGTCCACCAAACAACATTTCAAATCAAATATCAAAGCTATAGCTTTCTCCCATTCAGAAAACATTTGTTTTATTTTCTGGTTTTACTACGTGTACACAATGAGAATCACTGCCCCCGGGCAGGGCCAATTTTTGACATTTAAACAACTTTGGTAGAGGACCTATAGATGATATTATATATCAAACATTTAAGCTCTATGCCTTGAACCTTCAGACAGAAATTTTTTTTTTCACTATATGTCCATAATGAAAATCAATGACCCCCGGGGCTGAATCAATTTTGACCCCAGGGCTATAATTTGGACAATCTTGCTAGAGGTTCACTACACAATGTTTCATGCAAAATATCTTATCTCTATCCTTTGTAAATTTAGAGAAGATGATTTTTTAAGTTTTAACTATATACATATAAGATAAACCTATGGCTCCCAGGGGCGGGGCTAATTTTGACACAAGAGGCAAAATTTGAACAACTTTGGTAGAGTACCTTTAGATGATGTTATTTAACAAATATTAAAGCTCTAAGCCTTGTACCTTCAGACAATAAGATTTTTTGTTTTTTTACTATATGTATATATTGAAATCAATGACCCCCAGGGCGGGGGCAATTTTGACCCCAGGGCTATAATTTGAACAATCTTGCTAGAGGTTTACAACGCAATGTTTCATGCAAAATATCTAACCTCTAGCATTTGTCAATTGCTAGAAGAATTTTTTTAAAGTTTTTACTATATACATATAAGGAAAACCAATGACCCCTGGGCGGGGCCGATTTTGACCCCAGGGCTATAATTTGAACAATCTGGGTAGAGGTCTACCAGACAATGCCTTATGCAAAATATCTAAGCTCTAGGCCTTTTGGGTCTTTACAAGAAGGTGTTTTAAGTTTTTACTATATGTACATATAGCGAAAATCAATGACCCCGGGGCGGGTCCGATTTTGACCCAAGGGCTATAATTTGAACAATCTTGGTAAGGGTCTACCAGATGATGCCTTATGCAAAATATCTAAGCTCTAGGCCTTTTGGGTTTTTACAAGAAGGTATTTTAAGTTTTTACAATATGTACATAGTGAAAATCAATGACCCCGGGGCGGGGCCAATTTTGACCCCAGGGCTATAATTTGAACAATCTTGTTAGAGGTCTACCAGACAATGCCTTATGCAAAATATCTAAGCTCTAGGCCTTTTGGGTCTTTACAAGAAGATTTTTTAAATTTATTCTTATAATTCCTTTTGGTTGCCATGGCAACCAGATTTCTGCATGGAATGAAATTCTTTGAACAACTTTGGAAGCCCTTCACCCAAGGAACAATCCTGCCAAGTTTGGTTGAAATTGGACTAGTGGTTTTTCACAAGAAGATTTTTTAAGTTCACTATATAATCTATATAACACACACACAAACACACACACAAACACACACACACACAGGTGAATCGCTATATGCGCCACCGCATCGCAGATGCTGCGGTGGCATAAAAATAATGTTAACTGTTACCAGCTAGGTATGTGTACAAGATTTGCGCTCCTTTGAAGTGATATCAGTCTAATTAAAGTGTACGGGTTTTTCAGTATTAAAATACAAAAATTGAACTACCAACAGTATAGAGCGTGGTGAGACGGCAACAAACTGCGGACTTGTTGAGCTCTATTTTGGTGGCAAAATCTGGTTATAACAGGTTAAATATTAATATAGCATGACTGAAAACTGACAAAGTTGACGAATACAATTTTAAATGCCAAAACCTGTATAATACAAAAAATAAACCCAGCCTTACACCTAGCATTAATTTGCATTATTATATAAGATAAGGTGGACAGGACATCAAAATTTGATGCTAGTGTATGAGAACAGTTTTAAAAGGATAGGATCCCCATATCTCCAAAAATTGCTTTCAAAATAATGCCCCTTGTCTAACAACTGAAACGTGTCATAATAAGCAAGTATTTCAAGTTTCATGCTAGCCTGGGTTTCAGGCGTTGATAGTTTTTACTTATTTATAACATTTTTTTTCTTTATTCATAACATATGCGCTATTCTGTATTCTTCCGTCATTTTGATTGTCAATTTGCCAAACAGAAGAGAACCATAAAAAATATCGACAGACTCGAACCCAGGTTAGTTTCATGCTGATAACTTTTGAAATGTTTTAATAATGGGCTACATTTAAGTTTTTGTATGACCATGAAGACAATGCCGTTGACTTTTTCTTCAAAACAGATGAGCGAAAAAATGACATTTCAGTCTGTACCTACTCAATTTACTCTTATCATTCCTAATTCTGTAGCAGACACTTGTCAAATTGTGCATGAAATTTTCAAATTCACCATTGAATATATCACCATTCAAAAGGCAGTTTATGATACAATCCGATTTTTCTAATGACATTTTTCTGACAGTCAGTACTCAGAAATTCAAAATAAGAAAACTAACAGAATACTCACTAAAACTAATGTACTTATTATTTTGTCATTTCTTAGCATATAAGGTATATAATTTCCATCAATACTAAAACAACAAAAAAGAAATGAAGGAAAAAATAAATAATGTAAACTTCCTCTGACCCAAAATCTACTAAACAATTAAAAACAAGCAATTATCATAGTATTGCAAGCAATCCATAAGTCCCCTACCGGCGGGTAAGAGCCCAAGCAACATTTTGAAGGGCCATTCACTTAGGTTCCTATTTTAAGTAAATTTGTTGAAAAAGTTCTTTAAAAGTGATCACAGGAAACAGTTTTTATGTACAGACAGACGGACTGAAAGACACTCTAAAGTTATTTTTTAAACATCCCTGTTATCAAAATATAACATTTTTAAAATCCTATCATGATTGAAGAAGTTGGAGTAAAAATTACCAATTTCTCAAAAAAAAGTCTAAGTTCAAAAGGGGCATAATTCTGGAAATAGTCTTGCTAGAGTATTGAACACTCACAAAATTTAATGTTGAGTGATAATATGAAACATTTATATGAAGTTTGAAGTAGATACATTCAGAAAAAGAAGTTATTAAAAAAAAAAAGAGTTTTTTTCATGAAAATTTTAAGTTCAAGGGAGGTAATTCTGATAAACTTTGTGCTAGAGTTGTAAACCTTGTCACATATGATGTGGTTGATGACAAGCAACTTATATTTAAAGTTTGAAGAAAATACCTTAAGAAATAAAGAACTTATAGTGAAAAAACTTAAAAACTAGAATCAGAAATCTTGAAATTCAGTCTATTTGTTGCCATAGCAACCAGAATTTTCAACATAGGATGATAAGAAAAGGATGTGCATAATTTCCATACTGCCATCTACCCATATGTCAAGTTTCATAAACATATTTTCAGTACTTTTTGTGTTATCACTGGATCCAGGTTATGTGTAAAATTTGCCATATTTTCAGTCTATTTGTTGCCATAGCAACCAGAATATTCAACATAGGAAGAAAAGAAAAAGACGTGCATAATCTCCATACTACCATCTATCCATATAACAAATTTCATAAAAATATATTCAGTACTTTTTGCGTTATCGCGGGATCCAGGTTATGTGTAAAATTTGCCATATTTTCAGTCTATTTGTTGCCATAGCAACCAGAATTTTCAACATAGGAAGAAAAGAAAAAGACGTGCATAATCTCCATACTGCCATCTATCCATATATCAAGTTTCATTAAAATATTTTCAGTACTTTTTGCGTTATCGCGGGATCCAGTTTTGTGGACGGACGGACTGACGGACGGACAGACGGACTGACGGACGGACAGACGGACAGACGGACGGAGGGTAAACCTAAAGTCCCCTCCGGTAAACCGGTAGGGGACTAAAAAGTTTCCAAATCTTTTTAATCCATTCAAATTTTTTATCATAAATTATAAACTCCTGTCCACCATATATTAAAGAAGCCACTCCGTTAAAAGAAGAACATGATGAAATATGTACAACCTTCCTGTTCAGAATCAGAACTATCCTCCGAGTCATCCAGAAATGATTCAAGTACATGCTCTGAATTAATGCCATAAAGTCAATAATAATAGTGTAAGCATAATGCCATAAATTCAATAGATATACAAAGTCCATAATAATAGTGTAAGCATAATACCATAAAGTAAATAGATATACAAACATAACATCATAAAGTCAATTATAATGATGCAAGCATAATGCCATAAGTCAACAATAATAGTGTAAGCATAATGTCATAAAGACAATAATACTATTAAAATTATGTAATTAATGCAATAAAAGTTGTAAGTGTAACACCATAAAGTCAATAATAGTGTAAAGTCAATAATAGTGTAAGCATGATACCATAAAGTCAATAATAGTCAAAAGTCAATAATGGTGTAAGCATAATACTATAAAGTAAATAATAGACTAAATTATAGTGTAAGCATAATACCATAAAGTCAATAATAGTGTAAGCATAATACCATCAAAAGCATAATAAAATAAAGTCAATAATAGTGTAAGCATAATACCATAAAGTCAATAATAGTGTAAGCATAATACCATAAAGTCAATAATAATGTAAGCATAATACCATAAAGTCAATAATAGTGTAAGCATAATACCATAAAGTCAATAATAGTGTAAGCATAATACCATAAAGTCAAAAATAGTGTAAGCATAAGACCATATAGTCAATAATAGTATCAGCATAATACCATAAAGTCAATGATAGTTTTAGCAGAATACCATAAAGTCAATAATAGTGTAAGCATAATATTATAAAGTCAATAGTAGTGTAAGCATAATATCACAGTCAATAATACATGTATTATAAGCAGAATGCCATGATGTCAATAGATATACATGTAAAATGCCATAATGTCAATAATAGTGTAAGCATAATATCACAAAGTCAATAATATTATAAGCATAATGCCATGATGTCAATAGATATACATGCATAATGCTATAATGTCAATAATAATATAAGCATAATGTCAATAGATATACAAGTAAAATGCCATAATGTCAATAATAATATAAGCATAATGCCTTAATGTCAATAGATATACAAGAAAAATGCTATAATGTCAATAATAATATAAGCATAATGCCCTTATGTCAATAGATATACAAGTAAAATGCCATAATGTCAATAATAATATAAGCGTAATGCCATAATGTTAATAGATATACAAGTAAAATGCTATAATGTCAATAATAATATAAGCATAATGCCATAATGTTAATAGATATCATAAAGTAAATAATAACTCAAGCATGATGCCATAAAGTCAATAATAACTCAAGCATGATGCCATAATAGCCAAAATATCATGCAATTAGTATATTTTTGTCAATTAGCAGATGATTATTGTATCTGCTTTGATGTGCTTCTTCATTTTATATGCTTTAACAATACTCTAACACTAAGGCAATACAATTACTTTTGAACATAACAAAATCCTCTATATTCAACAAAACACTTTACTGACAGAATTATTACCTTAAAAGTCCTTTATAGAAAATACCAGACTGCATTATTTTCACAATCATAAAACAGGATAAATACACTTGATCTAAAGAAATGAAATTTCTACGTTTCAGCTAGGAATGGTCTCGCATATAAATCATTCATGAATCTCAACTTTTTAACACTACCATCGCATATTATTTGCTCTTGTGAAGATAAAGCATGCATTTGTACGTAAAATATGCACTTTTATTGTTCTGTGTATGGTACAGACACTAATAAAACTGTTCAATTGTCTGATTGTGTTTTTGCGCAAACTACTAAACAAAGCTTCTTTGTTTGGTACAACAAACTGATGGATTTTTTTCTTTCAAAATAAAATCAATCATATAAAGTTTTGACAACTCTGTATTTAATCAAGCTTTTGTAACTTGATGAGGTTTCTCTCAGCCCAAAAGTAAGTGCGAACACAACATTGTTTTGCAAAACTATTAAAAACATTAATTCAATCTTTATGCATGCTCGCATGTAAAATTCAATGCAAGGTTCCCAATATTTTTGTTCACCAAATTCATCAATATTCTACTAGGCAAGGAGTTGATAAATAAATAGCAAAAGCAAGCTTTGACAGCCAAAGCAAAAACAAACAAATAGCCATCATGCAAAATAAAAAAAACAACGTAATTCACACATAGCAGCTTTCTATGAAGGGACAATTTTATCGTAACAATGTAAAAAAACAAACTTTCGGGGAGCATGAAAAATGTGATGGCAGTGTTAAAAGGAAAATCATTCAGGAACAGTAAATTTTAGGAAAACGTTTATAAGGAAACTCTTATCAAAATCTCACCAGCAAATGCATCAACAATGCCTTGTGACTGTTCGTTCTGTGTCCCACTAAACGTCAACCATGAATCTACGCTTGGCACACCAGGAGGTTTCTTGCCACGCTGATATGTGCCAGTGTTTAAATCGTGATTTTCTGGCTCCCAGTGTTTGTGTATTTTGTCTGTAAGGCTGCGGTACGATCGTCTTGTTTCTATCAATTCACGGTCCGCATGAACAACCATAAAACTGTCATGTACAGTCTTGTTGTTCTTTATCTGACCTGAAATTAACAACATCTATAATCACTTGTTTGCCTCCAGAAACTGATTACCTTTATCTCCAGTTTAGAGCCAGGTCAGACTTCATCGACTTAGGAAATTATGAAAATATTAAAAATCCATTTTTTTTCTAATACAAAACAGACATGTAAAAGTTTCAAATTTAAACAACTGTACCAGGATTCATTTTAAAGAATCTGAGGTCCAAACCTGTGGTCACCAGAACCAGTGACTACCACAAATGATCTTAATTAAATCTAAACACATGACAATATGCTATTCTTATGTAAAGAATGTAATGAAGTGAAAACAGATTATATGTTCAGTTGGTTTTTTATACCAATTTCAATATATTTTGGTCACCTGCTTTCCTGGTTACCTAACCAGTCATAACCAGTTTCTCCACAAACAACCAAATGATTTATGGGTCAGCAGTAACAGACAGTTGACCATTAGAATCAATGTCCATAGATCAACTGTCTTGGAGAAATTTCTCTAGTGTAAGAAATATAGAGATATAAATGGTTAAACTCTAACATATACCAGTTGTTTTAGGTCTTTTATTTGAAGTGTTTCCTCTATTACTGGAGTGCTCTGATGGTCTCTGTGACAATGACGTTAATGGGCGACCTTGAACTTCAACTGAAAAATATCATTCCATTGATAGTTACATAGTTAAAATATTATATACGGCTAAAGCTTTTGTCTACACACATTATTATTATCTAACTTAAAATTTCATAAACATAATTAGGGTTATATTGTTTTGTGTGTGTGTGTTTTTTTCTTTACCTTTTAGAAAGACTGCTCATTAATAAACAAAATTACAAAAAAGTTATGATTAGGTTATCTTGGTAATAATAAAATCATGTGCCCAGTAAAATCAAAAACTACTGCTGTTTACATGATCATTTATTACACAAAAAATATTACCATGTTGACAGCTTATTAATATCAAGGAAATCTAACCTGATTTAAGATTATTATTTTCTTTGTTTTGACTGTTGTCCTTGGCAACAGATTTTCTTGGTGTCTTTGACCTTCTAGGTGGCGCTGATGCTATATTCCTATAATAAAAAAAAATGTCAGCAAATCATTCAATGGTTATCATTCTAACCTTTATTACATCTAATGTCTACTAGTGGTGTTAGTGAATTACTTCATGTGAAGTGCATGTAGCTATCCAGCTGGCTGTTGAAGATTCTACCTACCCATAATGGGAATTAAACTTTATACGCCAACTAAGGTCTTCCTTAATAAAAGACCAATTAAAATTGCAACACTCAACAAATGAGAAAAACGGTATCAAAGATAGAGAAATTTTAATTCGAATAAATTTCATTCCAACGTTTTTTCAATATTTAGCCAAGAAAAGTTTAAAATATGTTTCACTCTTCTTTGAAGAGATATCACTAATTTTCTTTTTAAAACTGATACTTCAAATTTGCTGCCAATTCAAACAAGAGCACACTTGAAAAAAACTCATTATACGACCTAGCAGTATTTACTCTTTAACATCTCATCTTATAGTTAAAACTTTAATGGTAAGTTAATACTTGATATCTGAAAATCAATGGCTATCGCACAAGTTGCCAATTTACGAATTAAATTTAAACACACAGTTAACAGGAAGGTATAAGACCTGTAAGAATGGAAAAATACATTAATAGAGGCTTACAAGCAATGTTATTTCATATAGTTTTTTCTTTAATCTTTACCTCCCTAAATACCTTAAATGAATCAGTTCATCTTTCAGTCTGGACAAAACCATTTATCATTTTAGGGGAATATTTGAAAATAAAGTACTGGATGAATGGCAAACAGTGCAGACCATGATAATATAACACAAATGTGATGACAGCTCTAAGTCTGCACTGGTCGAAAAGCTGGGATTCATTTGCAGCTATTAGGCTTAGTGTTTTACCAGTCTAAGAAAAAGTTACGAAGTGAACCTATGGCAGGCTTTACAACTTTCCTACGACAAGTGTAATGTCAGTCTTAAAACATATGAAATGATGATGAATGTAAGGTCTATTTTTATCACACAATGATAATTATAAAGCCAGAAAGCAGAGCACAAAAAAATTCAGTAATCCTTAGATGGTGTAATTTATACCTATAACATAACATAGTAACAAAGAGAGAAATACTAATAATGCTTATATTACATTCAAAACCATGTCATGTGATAAATTGAATGTGATATAACAACTTCATTGTGTAGTTAGAAAGGTAGAATATATCAATCATCATCAATCTTCAATCATATAATGTGAAGAAAAACACTCGAACAATCCTAAGACACTGTCTTCTTTACAGTGATTTATATTATTTGCTGTCTCAAATAAAAAATGAAACTGCTTGCTCCCGTTTTCAAACCATCAAGTTTCGCAATGTTTTCACAGTTAAAACAATCCTGATGCTAATAGTAAAATTTCATTTAAATCCAAATCTACAAAACGATACAAAATAAATTCTAAATCTACAGAGATGAACTTGGAAAATCCAACAAGTATGTTTGGTGTAAATCACAGCATTATGGAATGCATCTTAAATTTGGTGTAAGTGTAATGCATTAAAAATCAAGGATTATCCAAAGTATAAAACTTTTGTATGACTTTTATTCAATCTTAAAATTTCCAAATAAGGTTTATACTTTTTAACTTTTCTTTTATCTTTGTTAATCAATGCCAGAAAGGTATAAAATGAGGTAAATATGCAAATTTCCATGCATTATATTGGCTATAATGCACTGAAAGCTGTGAAGTTATTTCTTACCTGGCTTTTGTATATATGTTGTGTATAAGTGCATGCTGCTCACTGATGATATCTGCGGAAGATTTTGGTCGGTATGTCCGCGTGCCACTGACGTCTATATCAACAGTACGACATGACAACACCGGTTGTGTGGGCGTATATCTGTGCTTCGTCTCTATGTCACCCAGTGGACGCTTCTGTAATATACAAACATCACTATGTAGGTATAATTATAGAAATATATTTATCTATTTATGTTTATTGTAATTCCATCTGCTTTTCCTGAAACTAAGCTATGGTTGGATAAAGAATTTCATGTTAATATGTATACTGCTATATTAGTACTAAAGAAAATAAAAAAAAATGAAAATCATTAAGAAAAAGAGACAATAACACAATTTAATTTTAGTATTCTCAATAGAAATGTATAAAATTCAAAGCACTTTTTGAGCTTTTCATTAATTTTTCATTATATAGTCGACTTGTAACGCTCTGGTCACAGTTTTTTTTTTATGTTATTTTTTTTTCTTTGTAAGTTTTATGTCACACTGAAAATGTAAAGGCATTATGGCAACTTTCAGCTTTACTACCAGAAGACCTAAATTACCCCAACATGTGTTATGTCTGGCATGAGTCAATGGTACCCCAGTAGAATCCCCAGCCTTCTGTAAGCCTTCATGAAAGAACCCAATGTCCCTGTCAGGATTTAAACCCACAGCAAAGAGCAAAATGTGATTTAAAAATTACATATAAAGAACCTCAACAGTTTATGGGGTTTCTCTCAAAGGTGAACATCGCGTGGCCATGACTTACACTATATATATAATTATAATTTTTTTTTCATAAATTTTTTTTTTTCATAAAATTTATTTTTGTCAATACTAATGATGTTTGGATGATGTTTTAAGGGTTTTGGGTTGTAGAGGGGGAACAGGGGTATAGTGTAAGTCATGGCTACGCGACGTTCACCTTTGGTTTCACTGAGTCATGGGTATTTTGTGACAATTATTTATTTAAAACCCTAAACTTAACACTTGACGACGAAAAATATTTTTAAGACAGACAAATTCACAGCTTAGTAACAAAATTTACTATATAGTACACTAGTATCTATTAACATGTATTTGGTTGAAATCAGTAATATGAAAATAAGTAAGAAAGAAAAAACAAACAAAAACTCACATTTTTCAGATACATTCACAATCCTTATGAAACAATTACACTCATCATGACAAGCTTAATTAATTAATTGATAAATCCACAAACATATTCCCCAATTAAAAACCCACTGCCAATGCTTCAGATATTATAATACATTTAATGTCAGAAAACTATGTTCCTGTGATAAAAATCTACAACTGATAAAATCGTACAAATCATTATAAGTAATCAGAAAAAAATTATACATTTACAATTAAAGTAAATAACGGTTCATACCACACAGATTAGACCTGATAATGTCTTAAGTGTGTTGATACCGGAAACCCTTGGCCCAATCACAGATCAAACAGACATTTTAATTCTTAAATAAATGTAACAAAACTAACTATAATAAATATTTGGGGTTTTCAAAAGAGTCCAAGGACTTTTAGGCAATAAAAAAATATGTTTAAATGAAAATGTTACATGTAAATAAGTGTTTCCTTTACGATGACATTATGACCTCTTTTTCTAAAAAGGAACAAAATTACACAAATTATTTGAGTGTTACAATGTATTTGAATAATTACTGATATATTGTTAAAGTGTCAATATATAGCACTCCTCTGACAATATTACACCATTTGATACAACCACCAGGTAACTTGTTAATTAGCTGTTATTTAAAGGTGAAATTTCACAACTTCAAATCAAATAAAACTAAAGCCTTCTGAATACTAATTCACCCAGCTAAATAGGATATGGAACATTCCGTTCAAATTTAAAAGCATTTTAATTGATAAACTGAGCTACCAACGGTATAGAGCCTGATATGCAGGCTGGCCTGGTTCTATATGTCACCTTACTGCAGTAACTGGTTAATTCCTATTAAATTATATAAGAAGTTAACGCATTACTGCACTGAGGTGACATTATATTGGTAGCATTAAAGGCTAATCACTTACAATACCAGTTGGTTAAGGGGTTCAAAACTCAGTAATCTTTTCAGTTTAGTTGGCAGATACATCAAACTGAGTGTAACAGTGTAATGCTGAAAATATCTTAAACTGTTTTTTTGTTGTTGCTTTTTGTTTTAGTTCTCCGACAGATTAAATGAAATTTTGATGGAATTCAAATCAAACATTTTGGTTTGGAAAATAATCATAACTGAATATTTCAATTAAATAACAGAAATAGGAGAGCAGATCTGGATTAAAATTATTTTTTAATAGATTCTCTCCTAAAAATAGGGCTGTCATTGAATATCGCAATATTGATGTATCATCGATATTCATCATCCGATACAATATCGATACACACTTTTAGATATCGATACAAGCTAAAAAAATTTTTTATTTCTGTAAGTTAATATACCTCTCGTTTTTGCCTAAAAAGAGAAGTCACTTTTTCTAGTTTTCTTGGCTAACTTGAACTTTAAACTCCGTTTTCAAATGTCAGTGACAAAAATAACAGAAAAAAAAACTTTCTGTTAGTTTGAAGTATTTGTAATGTCTAATAGAAGCATGCATAACACCATGATCCCAATTTATAATATACATTTAATTGTTTTTCATTGCATTACTGTCAATGTTAATATATCGATATATCGTCAATATTTGTCTCTCGATATATCTATACAAAATTGTCTATCAATGACAGCCCTACCTAAAAACAAGAACAATAACAAGAAAACCACTTTCAGTAGCAATGTTGAACATAACTTAAAATACAAATTTTAATAACCCTATTTTTCACTTACCCAGTAACTCTCCAATAAATCTTGACCGCAAACTTGGCACTTAGCAAATTCCAACTTTCAGATATGAATCAAATAAAAAATACCATGATAAATTCTTTCTTAAACTTCCAAAAGATACGTTTATGATATTCAAGCAATCACCTTTCACGAAAGAAGAGCTCAATTCACTTTAAACGAATAACTCTTTCAAATGAAGTTTAATTTACACCTATAAATCAGTAAGCTTCTATTGTAAGATATTAATCTGCCCAAATATTGGCTTTTTCTTTTACATATGTTATTCTTAAATTACACCACCTCTTCATTTCAGCACGGAGTATATCTTATATTTGGTCAATTTATCTCTTTCTTATCGGATTAAATTGAGAATAGATTGACTCTTAAATTAATCCTTCTGACTTAATTTACTAAAAAAAGGAACAGCTTGATTTAATGTGCAATGAATATTAGTTTTATAGCTAGCACGTAACTATTTATTATTGTAAAATGTTCACCTTAACCAAACTGACAATCAAATGGCTTCTATATGGCCAAGTGGTTAAGGTCGCTGACTTCCAATATCTTGCCGATTAGAGGCAAAGCTTTAAAATTTGCTTAGCATATTAGATTCTTAAATAAGAAGCCACCAAGATAGGTTTGAAGAAGTTAATTGGTATACCAAGATGCCCTATAATGACTAAAATAATTAAGGAAAAGGCAACCTGGGTCTTCCTGACCTGTAAAACTGAACTTTCCATAAGAACTTGATAGACTTAGTGTCGCTGATAACGAAAAATAATTTAATTTTGGTCTAAAACAGGATTTCTAGACAATTTTATCTGTCAAATAAAAATAAAAAAAAAAAAAATCTGATTTTTAACATACAAGTTTGAATAAGAGTTTTGGTAGTCTCCTATCATACATAGATTTCTTTTGCTTTTTAAACATATACCTAATCTTTATACAGTGTATCACCTTCCACCAACCAGTGATCTCAAAAGTGGTCAAATGTAACTACAAAACTTAAAAACAATATGCTTTAAATTTGAACTAAACCTTTCTTACATGAATATAAATCTCAAAATCAAAAAATATATAATTATTGAACTTACAATCATGTACAAAATTTATAACCCTGAAAAAAAATATCCTAATCCAAATTAAAACAACAAGCACAACTCTTCTGTCAACCAGAGTGTTCTCCAGAAAATATAAAGAAACAGATTCTATGCTGGGACAATCATCTTTGAGAAAAAATGAATTATATGGTTGATTGGTACACTATCGAAACTTGTTCTTTAACCTCACTAAGTTACAACCCTGTTGCCTCGAACAGCCTAGTATCACAAGATGACACACAAATCAGGTAGAATTGGAAATCAATGAGATAAAAAAGATAAACAGGTCATAAAGTGCTTGATAAAGACAATTGTAATTGATAACGGCAAGGAGACAAGCTGCTGAAGTGGTCTCACAAAAAGTTTTTTCCCAACCCACTATCTACCAGTAAAAATACCCTCACTGTGCTTTAAGATAGAGATATTATTATTGTAATTTGATTGTTTCTATCAGAGAAGTAAATGTTGGAAAGAACCACTATCCATATGGTGTGAAAGAAGAAAAGAAGTGGGAAAGAGGAAAAGGCAGTGAACAAATGAAGAGAAGAATGGTAAATTGCGAGAAAGAATAAAAGAACCATGATCAAAGGTGGAAGAAAAAAAAGAAACATTATTAAAAGAGGGAAGAAGTAAAGAACCATCAATTTAGGAAAAAGAAAGAAACCATGATTTAAGCTAGGAGGAAGAACAATGATTTAAAGAGGGTAAGAAGAAAGTAGCCATAACTAAAGGTATGAAAGAAGACAAATTTAGGAAGATGGAAAAAGACCATGATCTAGGGGGAGGGGGGGGGGAAGTAACCTTTATTAAAGGTGGTAAAGAGGAAAAGATCATAATTAAAGGTGGGATCATAGAAAAGAACTATAATCAAAGGTGGGAAAGAGGAAAAGATCATGATCAAATGCAGGATCGAAGAAAAGAAGCATGATCAAAGGTGCCACAATCAAGGATTGGAAAGAAGAAAAGAACAATTATTGACAGTGGTAAAGAAAGCCAAATGATATTCTTAGAATGTGTTTGAGTTAAAAGCCATTATTTTACTATATAATTTCAAACAATACAAAGGTAGAAATAGGTGGACAGACAGGAATAAATTAAGAGCTTTCAGACACACACCATGCTTGACTATTTTCAGTGCTTGAAACCTTAACATGATATGACAGCAATGCCAACATCAATGCTGATACCAGGCTGAATCAGAGAGACACACTATTTTTCAAGAAGTTGCAGATATACTAAAAATAATATGCATTATATGATATAAATGTATAGAATGGATATAACAAAGAATGGGTATAATGAAGAATGGATATACCAAAAATGGATATAATGAAGAATGGATATAACAAAAGTCTTGCAATACTGTAAGTGATGTGCATGTAATTTACCTGACCAGATACATATTTGAACTCATCAGCTGGCTGCAATAAATGTTAACAGAATCAATATTCTGAGAATAAATAATCAACTACTCTTCTTGGCAACATTAAAGTAGATTAATTCTGCCTCTTTCGATACTCTTAGTGATAATCAATCTAATATAAACCTGATCAGAAAGATAAGACCGAATTGCTCAATTATAGATAGCTCCTGATTTTTACACTAGTTAGCTCCCTTGGCAAAAGTGGAAATTTTGAAATTTAGCTCCTTGACAAAAATGGAAGTTTCCTGATTCTCCCTTGACAAAAATGGCAGCCATTTTGAGAACATTATTCTATACATGTATACAGATTGACAAATTATATAAAAACTAGAAATGTGTCATCATGCCACGGATGCCCCCGCATGCAGCCAAAATTTCAGATGTTATAATATTTTAAATAGTTCCAAATTTGTTTGCACAAATTATTTTTTTCATTTTAAGTTCAAAGCCCTTAAAACTTTTCAATGTTAACACAAACCATTTCCATACAATGTTCAAGGCACTGAAATTATTCAGTCTTAACCTTTTGAAAATATCATATTTCATATTTGTAGCCAAAATAATGGCTACATACATTTCCACAAAAGTATGAGTGCTGAAACTGAAAGTTCAAAATTTTTCCAACATTCAAGAAAGATAAGTTTGTCCAAAATCATTGAACCACGACCAAATTCAAACTTAAACTGCTTATTCCTCAGATGTATCTATATTATTTTCAAAGTGAAAGGGGCATAACTCTGCCAAAAATCATTGAACCATGACCAAATTCGAACATGACCTGTATTTTATCATGACATATCCATATGTCAAGTTTGAGTTAAATGTGTTGTACCGTTGGGGAGATAATGAACAGAAACTGAAAATTTCATATTATTTTCAAAGTAAAAGGGGCATAACTCTGCCAAAAATCATCGAACCATGACCAAATTCGAACTTGACCTGTATTTTATCATGACGTATCCATATGTCAAATTTGAGTTGAATGTGTTGTACCGTTGGGGAGATAATGAACGGAAACTGAAAATTTCATATTATTTTCAAAGTAAAAGGGGCATAACTCTGCCAAAAATCATTGGACCATGACCAAATTCGAACTTGACCTGTATTTTCTCATGACATATCCATATGTCAAATTTGAGTTGAATGTGTGCAACCGTTACTAAGATAATGAACGGAAACTGATGATGACGGAATGACAGAATGACGGAATGACGGAAGGACGGAATGACGGAATGACGGAAGGACGGAAGGACGGAACAGGGTAACACTATATGCCCCGGCCATTACATGGCGGGGGCATAAACACTATATGCCCCGGCCATTACATGGCGGGGGCATAAAAAGCAAATGTAAACATGGAAAATTGTTAAATTCCTTTCATCATGTGAGGAAAATTACAACAGCACTGATATCGTTAAAAAAAAATATCAGGTTGCATGAAAATTTCCCTGCAAAATGGCAGCCAAGGGAGATTATGCATATTATGCGAAAAATATAACATTAGTGGTTATGATAAACATTCATAATATCAGGTATATGTGATGTTATATTTTTTTACCTGCAATTTCTATATTATCATTAAGAACGAATACCGATATTTAAAAGATCCCTCGATCATGGCTTGAAGCAAAAAAATCTTGTCAACATAATGAATTGTGATTTAGTTTATGATTCATAATTTAGTATGCTTAAATGATACCCAGGCAATTAAAATTCTCAGTTTACCATATTTATTAAAAAGTATGATATTAATTTGGTATTTTATGTAACCACTATACTAGGTAGCCATAATGATAATGGCAGTTCTTCCAAAAAATGTTTTACTTAGTTGCTTTCCTTACTATGCAATCTTCATATTTTTTTGCAGTATCATGTGAATATAATATAATTATGTAATTGCTGCCACTTTTGTTATAAATGATTTTGTACTATGATACACTAGGAAAAATCTGTCTTATGTTCATATTACAGGAAAAATTATTCAAAGAAAAAAACTATTGTTCACATTATCAAACCTAATATTTCTTAAACATAGCAAATAATTAAAATCAAAAGCAAGGATTTGTAAAAAATCAACCTACTTGTGAAAATCTAATCAGAATTTTTTTTAATTGAATCACAAATAATAAAAGTTTACAAACCTTTGCATGCTTCTTTAAAACTGAGTTAGCATGGAGGTCCACATAATCCAAGGCCATTAAATACTTCTGAGCCATTTTTATATTTCTATACCAGTTGTCTCCCTTCTTCAATCAATTTTCTTTCCCCTGTTGAAGAGAAAATATATAAACATTTATAAACAAATACTGGTATAAAAAAAGTAGAAATAAAGGAAAGAACTAAAGGAAAAGAAAGAAAGAAAGAAAGAAAGAAAGAAAGAATGAAAGAAAGATAGAAAGAAAGAAAGAAAAAAAGAAAGAAAGAAATAGAATTTATAAAGAATTTAGAAAGAAAGGAAGAAAAAAGAAAGAAAGAGTTTAGTGTTAACTGAGTTTTATACATCAAATTATACAAATTCCAAATTAACTGACCAATATCTATTATACATTTATTTCTTTGAGTACAAAATTATCAAAACCCTTACATCTTACAAATTATATGCATACTCAAATTGTCTTGATTGAACTGAATTACAAATGTTAAATTGACACATTTCAATATTTAAATACTGAAAATGAGCAGCAAGTATTATGGCACCTGATCATATTGCATAGACTAGCTATATTAGAATACCATATTTTCTCTGCTTTTATGTAGTATATAAGTTCTAATGTATGTTACACTATCTTGAATAAGATTGTTGGACTGTGAATTGGGTGACCCTAGTTCAATCCTCAGATGGTGCACAACATTTTTGTTGTGATTGATCATGAAATCCTTTCTACGGTCATTTATACTGGTAAATTGCTTCACAGGCTGCCCAAGAACGATGCAATGGCTGAATTGTGCTCTGGTAAATTCAACGTGGCTGACTTGCCATAATCAGGCATTATAACTACCAAGACCACCACCAAACTATTTTGATAAACATGTTCATTTATTTAATTTGTGAATAGAGCTTTTGTTAAAGTCAAAACAATAATATTAAAAAATAAATCAGTATTTTTTCATCAAGACAACAGAAGTATGCATAAGGAAGCATAAAAGATGTGATCATATACTGGAGAGAACTGCAAGACTGAGGAAATTTTAAAAAGACATCAGCAAACTGGAATAATAGCTTCACACCTTTGAATGAAATCAGGAAGCTCTTAATATAGTAAGCAAGACAAATAAAGACAAACTAATTGTTTTCTTTATGCTTTTATTTCCACCAAGATTTAGCCATTTTCTTAATGCATTTACATAAAAAAAAATAACAGAAGCAGTTTATCAATACATTAGATAATATGGACGCTAGACTTGCGGAACTAGAGAGCTCTTTGTTTGTTTTGTTAGATGTTAGATAAGTCACCCCAACACTTTGAAGGTCATATTGACATTCCAGCTTTACTGGAGGAGGAACCTTCTGTGGGTGTACCCATTCATGCATTATTTCAGACAACAGCAGGTCCCTGAGTAGAACTGTTAACCTTCTGTGAGCTAGCTGGATGATAGTATCCATGATCAGGGTTTGAACCACAGAGGTGCGAGGCTGGTGATTTAAAGTTGGTGATCTTAACCACTTGGCATGGATGCCCCTTGAAAGCTATTGGTAGGGACTATACAACAATTATATAGACTAATGTGGCAACTTTGTTCATTATGACTAAACTCTTTACTGTTGGATGCTGGAATTTATTATGTTTATTTTAAAACCCTTAAAATTTACAGTGAAAAGCAATGTTAAAGTAAGCAGTGACTGAATTAAAATGGTGTTACCTATGCCTGAAAATGCTTCTTAGAACAGCCCTATAAAAAGTGCATTCTTGAATTAAAAGAAAGTTGTTTGCTGTAGATGCAGTGACTGAAAAACTGGTGTGACTTATGCCTGAATATAATTCTCCAGACAAGCCCATAAAAGTGCATTCTTGAATGAAATGAAAGTTGTTTAATAGTGTTGAAGCTGAAATAAAAACCTCTTATAACTTTAAACAAAACTCTCTAATCTGTTAATGTTTGTGACTTTCCAATCTTATTTATTTCTATAAATGTACATGTATTTACAATATTAGTTATTCCAGCATGAGTCATTTTATACATTTACCACATGCTGATATTTTCTCAAGGTGAAAGTTATACAAACATTTTTATTTATGGATGATAATACAAACAAATTTAAAGTACAAATGACTATTTATATCAGACTGGCAGAGTGAAGCTGAGAGAGGTACTCAAACATTTCTGATACTTTATTCCCTTTGGACATATAAGGTTCATCAATAAATTTCTTTCTTAGGTTCGTTTTTTTTTTAAATAATGAGATCATTTTTAAATAGGTGTTTCTAGTTTGTAGAAAGGGAGTCTTTTTATCATGCTGATCAGTACTATCACATAGCCCTAAGAATTTATTTCACCTGGCAATATGACCTATATTTTAGAAATATTTGAAAATTTTTCCCTCAAAATAAGAAATGGATCTGTCCAGATTATAAGATGGGCAAGTCCATTTAAGACTTTTTAAGGTAAGGTGGTATTAAAGGTTTATTGTTGCCATGATAAGACATGGAATGATAATTATTGTAACATAATGAAATAGAAAATTTCATATCACATGAACTATAATATAAATATTTTTATAATCATTATCTATACAATATTAATAAACTTACCTTAGGCCAGTTGATGTACATGTAAGTCCAAACATTGATAAAACTCCATTTAACACAAATAAATCCCATATAAATATTTAAAAATTGTACAAATTTACCATAAATTGGTAAAAACTGCTTATTTAGACTGTACATTAAATATTTAATTGATCACTTGATCAATGGAATTTTCTGCCGACAATGTATGTATTATAAGATTTTGTGTAATGATTTAACCCTACTCCTGCCAACAGCCACATAATAGACGACTAATCTGATAATCCTAAACTATATATATATATCTATATATATATTAAATATATACAGACAATTCTAATACAATGTCCTAGCAATACATAGTTTTGTCTGTCCAAAACTAACATTTTCTTATAACATTTACAACTTGAAAATTCATATTTCGTCTTAAATGTGTCCTGCTAAATTTGTAAAATGGATTTGCCTTTCTGCAGGCCGTTCTTTTAGGAATAATCGAAATGTTTTAATTAAAAAATTTAAAATGCTAAAACTAAGTATGGAATACCTCGCAGTCTAATGTCAGAGTGTTACTGTGTAATATTGACCTTTTAATGACTGAACTTTTCTATGTCAGAGGAAAGTATCAATCACAAGAAAAATACAGATTCATTAGTGCCAAATCATTATTGTTTGCTGTAATAAAATATTTATTCTCAGATTTCTGACTGCAGAATTTCAGATTACCATGTAACATCAAAACTTGATAATCTTCAATTATTCTTCATGAAATTATGACTTGTCTACATAAAACCAGACCTATAAACATAATTTTAAAGTACCATTATGTAAACAAAATAAACATAGTTATTTCTCATAATTTGGTAAACAAAAATTGTAAAGTCCATGTAAAAACATAGCATTTAAACCTATAAAATTATTTATATATATCCAATGAACTTCATGAGCAATATTTCAGGTGATTGATTTATATGAATACTCAAATATCCAGTAAATCAGAAACTTCAAATGGATCGGAAAGGTAACACAGTGTCAAAATATCTTATAAATTGCGTAAGAATTAAGCCGAGATGACGCCAACAACAGGCAAGCTCTGATATTAGGGAGTAGCCTGAACAATTCACAGGGATTTTCCGATACAAAGAGAATCAAGAAATCTTTAATAATGAAGTTTAAAAAATCTGAATTTAAAGTGGGTTAGATAAAAGATTCCATACAATGCGCGGTAGATCTATTTAATGTATAGTATGACTTTCTATATCATGTTGACATTACATTAAGTATAATAGATCTAATGGAAATTTGTCGTCTGCTGACGTCTTCAATGTTTACAATGTGTCCCAATGTTTTGAGAGCTGAGAGTGTGAGTAGTAGAAAGCCCGTAGCCCTTAATAGAATGTAATGTCACATTAGTGCAGTAAAGGGTTAAACTCCTATTAAATTATAAAATGGAGTTAACCTGTTACTGCGCCAAGGTGACATTAATCAGTTGTAAAAGACTTGCAAGACAGCCTCAATTCAATGCAATCTGATCAAGCTTTATACTGATGACATCCTTGGTAACCGAGGCATACTCGTTACATCTACACTACATTCTTACATTATGAATGAAGTAAATGTGGGTTCAGACAAAGTGATGAATGCACTTAGTGAAATCAGAATCTGTTGGTCCCAACAATGTGATGAATGAACTTAACAAAGTAAGAACAAATGGGTAAGGACAATGTAATGAATGTTTCAGCAGAATTAGTACCCGTGGGTTCCGACAATTTGGTCAATCCTGTACCCGTAGGTTCTGACAATTTGATAAATTCAGTACCCTTCAAATGGGTTCCGACAATTTGATAAATTCTGTATCCATGGGTTCGAACAATGTGATACTTGTACTTAGTGTATTAAGTAGCTGTGGGTTATGACAATGTGATGAATCTAGTAAGCAGAATTAGTACCTGTAGATTCCGACATTGAGATGAAAATAGTAAGTGGAATCAGTACCTATAGGTTCTCACATTGTGATGAATGTAGTTGGTGGAATCTAGTGAGTATCTGCAGATTCCGACATTGTGATCAATGTTGTTCATGGGTTGAGAAACTTTGGGTTCCAACAATGTGAAGGTTCTGACAATATACTATGATTGATTGCTGAATGTGATTATTTTTGATATTTCAATAATTATTTTTTAAACAGTAATGAAACAGTAGTAAAGTTGTGATTTCAAAGCAGGGCAAGTTCATTAATCAAGTAAGACATGGTCAAGTATAAATGATATTGTGATCAAATGCAATATTGAAAATAATCATACTGACCAGTTTTTGATTACATAAAAATGTTAAGTAACTTCCCTTCAAAATTTTTAAGTGACTTCATAAATTAAACAAGAATAGCTGTAACAGCAAGTGATATAACACCTCCTGATGCTCCAAGATGTTGCTGTGTGAAAACTTAAGCTTGGGCTTACTTTAGGAATCTTGTAATCTTTTCAGCCCAAGTAACCTTGCCCATGACCAAATCAACTTGAAGGGTACTGACTTACAGGCCAAAGGAGGGAACTAACATTGTATCAGTCAATTAATGTATCAGTCAATTAATGAAGGTGATAAAAAAAATTAGAAAGTGTGCTTGGACTACTGGAAGCAAGGACAGAAAAGCTATACTGCTCTGTCACAAAACAATTTTGAGAAGCACAAAAAGGGGATTTTTTTTTTATTTTGATCATCTTTCACATTTAATTGCTATTTTCAATTTGTTCTTTCCATTCAAATAAATTTTCTTCACACCAAGTACGAGGGTTGTCCCAAAAGTCCGTGACAAATTTTATAGCCGGTTCATTTTTAACGCCAATAGAAAATAATTCACACATATAACCGTTAAGTTTATTATTTAACATTACAACAAATCATTTACAAAAAATTTACCCTAGTTACTTAGAAATTTTCAGTATTAACGACATTGGTTTGAGTTGCCGGCGCACGTCAAATAATTTACATTTTGTTATGAATAGGCTGAAATTAATTACGTATATTTCAAATATCTGATGATGTGTCTGCACAATGTCACGATGACTTTCTCTGCTGCTATGTTTAAATCATCTCTGAAAATTTTAGTTAAATAACTTAAAAAACGAAAAAGATACGAATAAATGAAAATATCTCATATAGAATAGGAAAGTTAAAATGGCGACGTTCGAAGAATTTGCGGCGCAGTGAACATGTCACTCAGGTTTCATGACTATTTCGAGATGACACATGTAACGATTTTCAACAAATATACCAAATATAACAGTTTAGCAACATATTCTGAGCATTTGTGTACAAAAGGCATGAACGAAACCAGAGTTTTGCGCTACAAAAAGCGAAAATAAGGAAAAACACGGAAAGGAAGACGATCTTCGTCGCCTATTTCCTACAGCTAAAAACAGGAGTAACGAGACCGGAAGTTCGCGTATAGCAAAAATTAATGTATGCCATCCAAACATTCAACAGACATTAACAACCACATGATTTAAGTCAGAAATTGACGATTTATGGGTACCATTATTGCGTTGAAAGCCATTGAGAGTATTTGAGAAAGGCGCCTTATATAGATTTAATGCCGTATTTGACGTTGGACGTGCGCCGCGATTCAGTTAGTTGCCATGGTGTTTATGACATATTTTTGTTGTTTGTTGATATTTATCTATGAAAATTTGTGAAAATGTTTAAATTATATGGGTTAATAACATATTAAAATATCGAATTCGTACCTGTTTTATTTAGCTTTTTAATCAATCTTGTCACAGAATATTGGGACAACCCTCGTATTATCATATATTCATCTTCCCTTGACCCTAGCCCAATATCAAATCACGTCTTTATCGAAATCTTACAAGTTGACATAAAATAGATATTAACCTCTATTGTATATTCGTATTGCAATTACACAATATTTTCGATAAAATCTCGATTTAAATTTTCTACTTTAAATCATAACTTGCATTACATTATATACAATCAATTGAAATAAGGTTTCCATTAAAGATCAATTCAGAAAGTTCAATAGTGTTGAGCGTAGTTATTATTAAACCTTGTTCAAACAGATACCATGGAAAAGTAAACAGTAGTGTTGATAAACTACTACCATGACTAGTTAACAAAATACCCACAAAGCCTACTTAAAAGTATCAAACTTATACATTATACAAATACTCAAATTAGGTAAAAAAAAATCTTTTTAATAATTCGATACTTATAGTCTAGCTGTATTTATCACATAAACACACTTACAATCATATTTTTACCTGAGGATTATCTCATATGCAAGTCACTAACAAGAACAAAACCCTGTCAGGGGGCAAGCTGTTGTTTCCTTGACCAAAAACTTTACACTCATTGCAAAGTACTGGTTAGTTCAAGGAATAAATTTGAGAGTGTTTCAATAAGCTTATATATAGAGCTTCCAACACAATCAAACTAAAATAAATTTGTATAAACTAAACACTAGACACTGGAACAGAACAATAAATCTTCTGTGACCTTTCTTTTTGGGAGCTGAGGGAGGAGGGGGGGGGGCACAGGGTGACTGGGACAGGATGTGGTTGGACAGGGTTTGGTTTATACCATAATATTGATCTGTAAACAGTATATCAGCTTTTATGGTTAAGGATCTCTTTGATACTCATCCTTGCATTATTTCAAGCACAATGACATTAGCAGTCACCAGCAAATCGCTGCTTCTTAAAGTTTATATATTTAATCTTTTCCTCGTTCATATTCCAAGGAACAACAATATCTACATATGTTGCGTACAATTATAAACAACAACGGTATATTCATGTAGTTTGATGTAATCTAAATAAAACATAACAGGAAATGTTCAAAACTTATGTACAAAGTAATCAGCAATAATTTGAAAAATTTCATGTTTCAAAGCATTATTGTATGGGTTTCATAAAAAGTACTGCTGAATTCATATATAAAATATGTACATGTAAGAGGTGCGGCAGAATGAAGAATAGAAAAGGTTTCTCGAATGACTGACTACACTTGTATCTATTTCCTCCTTATGGAATGTTTCATCGGAAGGGAAATAACAAGAGCTGTCCGTAAGACAGCGCGCTCGACTTTTTTATTGCTTGCCAATAAAAAAAGTTTTTGCAGTAAAAGGCAATACAAGAATCTCTGTATTTTTAAAGTGAACTAGTTGTTTGATACCCTTGAATATTACAGCAATGTTTATATGACATAATTTATGGTAAAGTGAACAAGTGGATAGGAATGAATTTTTTTAGATTTTTTAAGTTTTTTAGTGCTTGCCTATAATAC